TGGGGATTGCAGTGAATGTCACAAAGCAAAATGTGTATGAATTGTTGAATGAAAACTAATTCGCTCTGTAAACTTTTACCCAAATTGCAGTTAAAAAAAAAAAAAAAAGTAGATAGCTAGATAACCCAAGATAATACCTTGAAGTTTTTTTAAAAAGGAATTTGCTCTTTCTATTCAACAACTCATACACTTTTTGATTTGTGACATTCATTGCAATCCCCACAATGTAATAGCACTTTTCCCACTTCCTCCCTGTGTTTACCATTTCCATTAGTCATTCTTTTCTATCCGTGTCTTCTTAGCTTTATCCCTGAGCACATGCTGCCCTTTTGATCTCACACGCTTGGCTGTTCTAAGCAGTGCACACCTGGTGTTACTATTCACCTTATAGGCCTATCATCTGATTGAAAGTCGAGCCACATGGATGAGCTCAGTTCAAGGCCTGGAGAGTGACTAAGGGCCATAGTCTTGGGAGTTCCATCAGTCTCTATCACATCAGTAAGCCTGGTCTTGTTTATAATGTTGAGTTTTGTTCCATATTTTACTCCCACTCTACTTAAGACCTCCTATTATGATCCTTTCAGATCACTCAGCAGTGGTAGCCAGGCACCACCTAGCTCTTGCAGTATCATGGTCATGGAGACTGAGGTTCAGGTGGTTCATTAGTCCTCTGGACTAACTGTTTCCTTGCATCTTTAATTTTCTTCACTCTTCTTAGCTCTGGAAAAGGAGAGACCAATAGCTGCATATTAGTTGGTACAGTCTTTTGATATATAAAAATTTTAAATTTTTATCAAGTTCCGTTTATTTACTTTCTTATGTTATTTGTGCTTCTGTTATTTTATTAAATAATCCATTGTTGAAAGCTAGGCCTGACAGCATTGGCCCTGTTTGTACTTTTAAGAATTTTATAGTTTCAGTTTGCATGTTTAGGTCCTTAATCTGTTTTGAATTTGGTTTTGTATATGGTATAATGGGAGCTCTGGTAGCATAGTGCCTAAGGCACTTGACTGCTAACCAGAAGGCTGG